AAATCAAATAAGTAAAGATTCACAATTCTTATTAAGCTCTGTATATGGCAGTTGGCTTCCTGCTGCAGAAGCTAGAGAACAATGAAGCCCTCAGTAGGAGCAAACTATCCCCAGCAGAAAGCATCCACTGGGGTATTCTTCAGAAGGTTGCCCACAGCTGGTTTTCATGCTGCTGCTGCAAGTGATGACAGGCAATGTGTTTACCACTGCAGCATCCTGCCAGAGACCTGGTATCAGGTAGGTTTCCTTAGCTTCCCACTTCCCTCCTCAAAGTTTGGTATAAATCAAAGAGCCAACAAAATTGAAGTCACTGGCAAAGTAATTTGAAATTTTGAATAATTTTTATTAAACACCATTAATCTACACTGCACAATTAATGAAACAGCAAAGCTCTGATCTCTTAGAAGAAATATGATTGATCATGTATCAGAAAAGCAGTTCAGTGTCCCCTAACCCAATGTCATCCTGATGAATGATTAATTAATACCTCATGTCAGAAGCAAAAAGGGGCAAGAACTGCAGCCTGGACTAGAAGAGCTTCCCTACCCTTCACCTCCCACCCCCAGCCCCCCTACCCTCCCTACAATGCAATTTTATTTGAGTCAATCATTTATAAAGGCATATGTGATGCTCTTGTTAAAGAGGGCTTCTAAATTTGTAAGGAGGAGAATGGAAATGGAATTAATACTTTTTCTTTCCAAGAAAATATCAGATGGTGGAATTAATGTCTGAGATCAGCCTATCCAATTCATCCCCTGCCAGGGCAAATGCTGATTATAAATACACAGATGCCATTTCTGTTGTTGGCATTTGCTAACACCAAAGAGAAAAGGAATCAGAGTTTAACTATGGGAATAAGGCTGTGCAAGTAGAAACGAGAAATGACTACTACAACAAAGAACAATTAGAGGAGGAAGAAGGGGGGGAGAAAGAGGAGGAAGGGAGAAGGAGAAAGAAAGAGGAAAAAGAAGAAATAGAAGGAGAAAGAAGGAGAAAAAGTAAGAAGAGGAAGAAGGAGGAGGGGGGAGAAGAAGGAGGAGGAGGAGGGGGAGATGGGGAAGAGGAAGGAAAAGAGGGAGAAAGAAAGAGGAAGAAGAAGAAATAGAAGAAGGAGGAGAAAGAAGGAGGAAAAAGAAGAGGAAAAAGAAGAAGAAGGAGAGAGAGGAGAAGGAGTTTAGTCTGCCAGTCACATTACAGAACAGTGGCAAGTGGCCCAATATTTTTTCCCCACTGAAATGAATTTGGGGATAATGAATTGACCCATTCATTTTATATTGTGTAGCTATATTATCTTACCACACACTTTCTCAATGGGTATAGTGATGCTTCTCTAGGCAAGCAGTTCATTTAGTTATTGAGTACTCCTACCCAGTGATCCAGTTTGCTTCTCCCACCTGCCAACTCATGCAGGGGAATTTTATCATGTCAGCTGAGAATTACATGAGGTCCTCACCCTCATGGCTAAATTGATTTTGCCTTCAAAAATGCTTTCCAACTTCATACTCCAACTTCAACCTCCAGGATGCAAATTTAAATAACACACAGTTCTAATTAGATACCTTTGGGAAAGATATGATAGGACAAGTATCTTTTCAATGCAGACCCAACACAATGTATTTAATGATGTAATGTCCGAATGAAAATCCATCCATTTGAAAACTCAACAAAACACATTTTAGCAAATGGTTCCTAATTTAGTAACTTGGTTATTGACTGAATATTTGAGTCTCTTTATGACATTATATGGAAAAAGGCATCCCAACCTCAAGTCTTTAAAAAGTAGGCAGCAGCTAATCTGCTTTTCAAATGCATCATTCAAATACAAAACTACTAGTATTTTCTCAATGAGATTATTAAATAACTAAGAATATACAGGCTGGCTAACAACATGCTTATGGCTAATTCTACCCTGATGACCACACTGGCATACCCTTTTGAAATTAATCCTATATACCAAACTCAGTAATGTGACAAAACCACTAAAAAATCCAAAGTCAATTAAACATACAAAACCAAGACAACATCATAATACAAACTTGTAAAAATCTTTGTTGTTGGAGCTTGGGTGACAAATGAAGGCATAGTGGTGGCCTTATTGGGTCACTTTGCAAGGCTGATATCCTTCTGTGTTCCTCAATTGGAGCTGCTCATTGTTCTGCCTTTTACCTAGCCTCTATGTGCTTATTAAAATGTGTCTCACCAAGCCTCCATCCAGGTCTCGAGGCAGGATCTCTCACTGCAATCCACATGTCTTATGTCCTTCCCACAAACTGGTACACTGAAGATATCTACTTGACAAACTATGTAAATCCCCCAAATAGCTCCATACCTACGACACGCATCACTGTTTATAATGTGATGAATAGAATGCCTAGAAAACAGCAACAATCCTTAATCATGAAACCGAAAGATATCTCATCTTCAGGGACAGGAAGGCAATTCATTTTCTATGTTTAACTGGTTTTTAAGATGTTTTACAAATGGGTATACTAAATAACCTGGTGGTGATCCTGAGCTCAACTGTCAGATTTGATAATTGTGCTACTGATGTGGCACACACTACACCCAGCCACCAGAGGTGTCATCAGGTAGCGGGATTCTCTGCTACCTCCCTGTTGTATGCAAAGTAGATATAGCAACTCACTGAAATGAGCTACAAGACTTTCATCCATGAGGCAATATGTTTGTTTCCCTAGGAAACTGCCCCTAGCATTTGAATATGTAGTTTATGGAGGTTTAATTTCAAGAACCTGTTCCTAAATCCATGATGGTCTAGGAATGTGGTCTAGATTGAACTTGTAAGTCAGTCCAGTGGGCTTCATTATACAGGGTGGAACAAAAGTAGGTTTGGTTATGAGTGTGTGAAACACAGAGTTTATTCTTATATTATTACTTATTTATTATTTTCCATACGAACAACTGTAAACTTACTTTTGCCCGACCATATAGTAATAGTCAGGCACTCTACCTGGTAAGCCATTAAAAACAGAGAACTGGAGATACTGCAAAGCCATAAGCTTAATTATATGTGACACTCACTTTGGGCTTGGAGTCTTTCATATTATTATTTTTCTCATTTAGGAGACTCAGAAAAGATTTTCTTAGATTCATCTATGTGTGTGTCTGTATGTGTGAGTGTTGTTGAAACTGAAAATGTAAAGCTCAACAACATTGGGAGCATACAAAGTTCTGGTTTCAGCTGTTAGGACACTCCCAGCAATGATTTTAACAATGTGGCCTCAGCCATTGGAGTAAATTGTCACAACTTTATTATACAACAAAGGACCTTAAACTCAAAACTGACGAGAGCAGAGCTCAAATCTGGCTTTTTGCAACTGGGTAGATATCTAACCTTGACAATAAGAGTGCAGAGTGATCCCTTGCTGTTCCAATAAAAAACTTGCATGACTTGCTTTAAAAATCATACAAGTTTGTATCTTTCATGTACATGTAGCTGTTATTTAGCTTGTCATGATTCAGAGAACAGAATTCAATAATGCAGCAGATTAAAGGATACATGAAATTATATACCAGCAGGTAATTATAAAGAACTAATGTATAGATAGTGTTCATTACATGTGGGAAATTTGTCCGGGGAGCTAGAATACCAAAGATGATATTTACATTGTAATGTTGAGGGACATAAAATGAATGTACAGAGTCATAAGGGGTGGGGATAGTTGCAGCTGATCTGGAAATGTCCAAATTAGGTGAACTGTTCCTAAACTTCAGGGTTATTTGACGCATTGTCTCAAGACAAATTTTTGTTAAAAGGTTAACTACTACTTAAAAAATTTGGACTCTTCTTTGGAATTTAAATGGGAATGATTCATACTAATAGAGACTTAAATAAAATCAATGATTGTATTTCAGACAAAAGCTAAAGAGCCCCCCAAAAAGAAAAGAAAGGAAATAGAATAGAAAGAAGAAAAAGGTAACCCTGTAAAATAGAACATGTGGATACTAATTGGGAAAGTCCATATTTTAAAGCCATTAGGAAGCAAACTATATATTATTACTTCTATGTAGTGATAACTTGACTTTTGTTACCAGAGATTTGAGCAAAATGCAAACAAACAAAAAAAAATCCTTTCAGTTATGAACCCATGTACTAACTGCAAAAGAGGAAGAGGTATGAATTCATGGATGTTTTCCAGACCTCCTATCTCTCATTTCTAAAACTGGAGTGTGGCATTTTGGTTACTAGGGCATGCACCCACTGAACTGCCCCTTAAGAGGATTTACACTTCAAATCATGGAGTTCAAAAATATTTATGTAGCTGATGCCTTAAAATTGTTGAAGTAAATGTTGCCACTCCTCATCATTAAAATATTAAAAATCAGGAATCAGGTAAGGGGATGCTAACAAAAATGTCCTCTGGTTGTGTGCCACAGTTTTGTTTTAAGAATGGCATTGCTATGCTTATTTATTTTCTTAATGCTCTTGATTTTATAAGGTTGCTACAACATCTAACTAGTGGATTTTGACAGTGAAAATTGTCGTCTGAATATTGAGTCTGTGGGAACCACAAAAGTTAAACAATGGATTCAACATATGTTCTTCTCTGCACATAAGAATACAGTTTGGAAAATGGCTACTGCTGAAAATTTGAATATTTACAGGTACTTTGTGTCTACATTCATATATATAGTTTCATTTCTCAGGAACCTGTTATGATCACAAGTATTTTTCATTCTTTGTTTTTGGTTGTGTGGACTTAAAACAATACTATAGGGATTGTGCCATTGCATCCAGCAGAAAAGGCTGGTGGAATCTAAGACATGTATACAAAATACTAAAAAATGACTAAGCAATAAAACATACACTGTTCTCAAGTTGTAGTATCCACTTACAATAATTTCTGTTTTTTTACAGGTATCAAGAGAAACGTAAAAACAAACATAAAGAGAACTTTCTCAAATGAGTGGAGTTCCACCAGATAGGTACTCTGGTAGAGGTAGAATGATGGACAGTAATGCTGGAGATGGGGGAGCACCCACTACAACAAATGGGCATCGATGCGCAGCCAACACAGTCCCTGGCGAACGTAGCGGACAAGATTGGTCATGCTGCTATGCTGGGTCAAAGGCCCCATCAATGTGTCCAGATCACCAAAGAATTCTGAAAATCAGAGGAGATCTTGGTTAGGCCTTTAAGTGCATCTTGAAAACATGCACCAGATTGCTTAAGCTGACTTCATGCAACACAACCATGCGGACATTGGAAAAGTTATTCATTGTTCATTTATTCAATGAAAATTTATAGAGTATCTACTAAGGGACAAAAACACCATATGTATATCAAGCACTATTATTTTAATCTTCAGTTAGATCCAAAATCCTGCAGCATAAATATTTGTGTTATTGTGATTGATAAAACCCATATTCATTTAAATCTACTAATTCATAGTAAGATTTTTCAAATAACAATATATTTTCTCAAAGAGTTTCTAAAAGTATATTACAATCCTGTGGAGGTTTGCTAGATACAGAGACACAAATATATACATACACGCATATATATACACATATATGTCACACTATGTATATATTATACATAAAAATATATTTGCCTGTATATTTATGTTTATATAATAAAGATATATATATTTACACACACATTTAAAATATATACATAAATGTGTATATAAAATAAAATGTGCTTATATATTGTATATTATTTATTGAATTTATATTCTTATGTACTATAAATTTATATCTAGAAAAGTATCCTTATACACAAAATGGTAGAGTCATGGTCTATATATCAAGCTGTTTGTCATTCTATCTGCTATTGAATTTAAAATATTCTCTTCTCTTTTTGTCTAAATGAATCGAGTTTACCAAAATTCCTTGGCATGATGCAGACATAGTCAGTGATCCTGGACAGCAATTATAGCCATTAGCATCTGAGGCTAAATAAACATCTAGGAGACATCTTATTTGGTAAGGCTTATTGCCAATTCCTTCAGGGAAGGAAAATGACCTGCAATTATGTTACATAACAACTTCCCCTCACCCGCAGGCATGGATGGTAAGAATCCCCAGCTGATTCTCCTCCTGGTGACTTGGAGAAGGAAACACTGAGGCCACCTATTAACCAATGTAACCAGACTATTAGATTTCCTGCTTTGGGGTGGGGATGAGAGATGTGAAAAAGACTATATAATGTCTGGAAACTACCTCAGTGTCCCCTTTCCTTGTCTGAATTGACCTGTTTATCACTGTGTTGATTTTGGTTATGAGAAGGGTCTCTGCTGTCTCCTTTGTTAGCTTCCCATAGAAGAGGCAGCTTCAGCCATGAGGGAATCATACCTGTACTGGTTGGGGGTGAGGTATCTGAGGGAAGGCTGGAGACTACCTTAAAGTGGTCAAGATGCTCTCTTGCTTTTTTGGAAAGCAATTCCCATGCATGGGTTTCATGGACTTGATTATCCGGCAGATGGTATTTCACTAAACAATGCCTTTATTCCTCATGTTATGCATAATTTATGGGTTCCTTCTCTAGGTATAAACTTCATTTAATTATGTGATGCTTTTTAACCTGTACTATGCAATGAAAGTAATTTCTGCTGATAAAGCAATAAATTATTTTTGGCATCTAAGCTATCAAAACTTTCATATGTAATACAATACGGGAAATGTTTAAGGACCTAGTCATTGTTATTTTTTTTGAATATATATTTTATTGATTATGCTATTACAGTTGTCCCATTTTTTTCCTCCCCCTTATTCCCCACCACCCTGCACCGCCCCTTCCCCCTGAATTCCCCCACTTAGTTCATGTCCATGGATCGTACAAATAACTTCTTTGGCTTCTCCATTTCCTATACTATTCTTAACCTCTCCTTGGCTATTTTTTAATTTTTTTTATTTTCTTTCTTTCTTTCTTTCTTTCTTTCTTTCTTTCTTTCTTTCTTTCTTTCTTTCTTTCTTTCTTTCTTTTTAAATACATTTGTCTATTGAAGTAGTGACTGGATGTCGAGTTAAGAATGCCACAGCAGTCTTTTTGTAGAATGCCCATTGGAAACCTTGGCTCACATGCAGCTCACATGCATTCAACAAAAACTAGGAGGCAGAGACAAAGGACCTAGTCATTGTTGAATGAATGTGAGCTGCATGTGAGCCAAGGTTTCCAATGGGCATTCTACAAAAAGACTGCTGTGGCATTCTTAACTCGACATCCAGTCACTACTTCAATAACTGCTATAAGTAAGCAGCTGGGGAGGTAGGGTACAGTGTTTTTATATCAAAGACCAGAGAGCAACATCAGCCCCATTGGTCCATTTTAACATTAGAATCTTCTGCAATAAGTCATCTGTAGCTGCATAGGTGGGTAGGCACAGGCCAGAAATGGAGACCTCCCACTGAGAGAGCCAACCTCATCCACCTTTACTACATGACTGAGTGGAAAAATATGGAAGTACACAGTTGTCTCTAGTAGGACACAGAGTATCAAGCAAAGAGAAGTGCCTCAGTTTCCTCATCTCTGTGTGGACAAGACAGATGTGGGAAAAATTTCCAACTCTAAGCAGTTCAGAAATGACAACTGTGTAAAACTCAAGGCTGCAAAGAAAAGATTCCAAACTAAGATCTCTCTCCAGTCCACTGAAAAGTAAAAACCTAATGACAACATTAATTAGTAGGCTATACTTTCTTTCTGCTGGTAGAGTGACAAAGTTGTTTTCATTCATATTAGGCATAAAATTGAACAATTCCTTGATAAATTTGTGCTAAGGACAAGATTGGTACCATTTCACTGGAACACCAGCATAATCACTACATTGCTCCTAAAAAGTTCTGCAGTTAATTTAAAAGAAATTTATTTAACAGAATTTGAAGATGGATGCAATTATGAACAAAGTCCATACATATTAAACTGCCCTCCAGTTACCAATACAAAATAAGATGGTGTTGGGGGCAGACAAGCTAGCCAAGTTTTAAGATGCTTTGTGCCTTAACTTGTGATTCTAGAACACTTGGATAGACCTGATTGTCTCGACCAGTTGTCTTTGGATTTCCAGAAGCCTAGAAAAGTAGACCAGTTAAGAATTGCCCTCTATTGCCCTGGTTGGCGTGGCTCAGTGAATTGAGTGCCAGCCTATGAACCAAAGGGTTGGTTCGATTCCTAGTCAGGGCACATGCCTGTGTTGCATGGACGTGACCCCAGTGGGGGGCACATGAAAGGCAACCACACATTAATGTTTCTCTCCCTCTCTTTCTCCCTCCTTTCCCCTTTCTTTAAAAATAAAATAAAATCTTAAAAATGTGTATATATATATATATATATATGTGTGTGTGTGTGTATATATATATATGTGTGTGTGTGTGTGTGTTATACATATACACACACATATATATGTGTTTATAAAAGAATTTCCTACTATTCAGGTCTCTGAGGATCCATAATTAATGTTTATCTATAGATGGGCTGTGTAGTGTATTGGTTAAGAGTTCAGATTCTGGAGTTGGACAGTTCTAGGTTCAATTTCTGCTCCCAACATTAAGAGCTGTGAAATTATGGGTGAGTTTTTTAACCTCAATCATCCTCAGTTTCTTCATCTATGACATGGGGAATAAAAGAGACAACAAATGATAAAGTAAATAGTGCAGTTGCTAGCATATAAAAATTACTGCACAAACACATGTAAGCAATATTTGCAAATAGCCCCAGAAGTAAGTATAAATTTATATCTGAGTTGAGGTTCAAATTCTCAAATTGTGAAATATGCTTTGATAGCCATAGAATCTCTGAGTTACATAGATATATGGTGTGGGGCAAAAGTAGGTATACAATTGTGAGTACATGAAACAGTATATCCTTGTATTATCATTTATTAATTATTGTATTATTTTCCTATGAACAGGGGTAAACCTACTTTTGCCCCACCCTGTCTAATACTATGGAGTAAGGAAGGAGAATAAATATTCACAGTATTTCTACCTTGTATCTGATATTTTATGCTGTTTGCTTTACACATATTATTTCATTTAACTCATTTTTATCATTCTTCTGGGTATTTTATTCATCATCATATTATTATTATTATTATATCTATTATAGAGATGGAAGCTATGAAGTAGTGCACAGATTTAAGTAACTTGCCTGAGGTTACCCAGCCAGCACACGAACCAGGCAGGATTTAAACATAAATGATCAGACTTCAAAATCTGCAACGTTCCTACTCCACTGGGACTTTTTCCCACATAGTCAGCAATGCAGTAGTAAAGGCGCAGTACAGAGGAGGGGTGGGAAGTCTGTGCCTCATTCCATAATCAGACACTGGAGAGAACCACCCCAGGGCCTAGAGTAGCAGCTTTTCAAACAAAAGGGAAGCAAGGCAGAACCTTGGGGCCAGAGTAGAAAGGAAAGGAGAGCTACCTGGGTTGTGAGGATTCTTGGGCTTGGGAGAAGAATTGGGCCAGGAAGCCCAGTAAACCCTTTATATTTGAACCCATGAGAACTTCCATTTGCATTTAGGTGACCTGAAGCCACAGCCTGAATCCAGGAAATCCCTATCACTCATTGTTGGGGATCTAGTAGCACCCGAGCCCACTCTAAGCAACTTGCACCACCTCATATCCCAGGAGCAGGCACTGGACCATGTAGAATGCTGATGATACTTCCCTCTTCCTGACCAAACAATTCCACTACAGATTTCTGGTCAACTCTCTGCAGTCTGAATCAAAAGGTCCACATCTGTCCCCACCTTGACTGGCATGAAGCTGTCAGTGGTTCCTGGGCCAGAGTCAGCTGATTCAAATGAATGGCCAAAGCAAAAATGCTGTTTATTTTTACTTCCCACCTTCACTAGGATAGCAAGGCTTCATTGTGAACCTATGTGACAGCTAGGGTCATAGGTGGCAGCTTAAGTCACCAAAGACCACTGACTCACTCTCTAGTAAAGTATGATCTTCTCTGCATTAGTTTTGTAGCAAACCTCATGTGTTACCCTTATCCTTCATCTCAGCTGTCAGTGTGTTAAAAATAGTAGCTGAGTTTTGGCCCTTGCTTCTGAATTCAAGCCATATTATCATGCACTCACTGGAGCTTCTGGTTATAATGAAGGTAGAGGCCTTAGTTCAGCCTTACCTCTCAAAAAAAAAATAAAGTTGACAACAGAAGCCAACAGAATATCAATGAACTTCAAATGATTCTCCTTTTCTTTGCCTCTATTTTTATGTTGTTTCTATCTTTACCATTGAGTGAAAATCATAAAAAGTCATTTGCCAACACCTCACAATTCAGATTAGTTTAAGCTTCAAAAGAGACAAATCCTAGGCTTTCTTTGCTTCCTCAGGAAAAAAAAATGGTCAATGTGTCAGCCCAGAGTTAACACCCCCTTCTCTCATCTAAGCCCTGGAAATCAGAGACACAAAGATAAGGCCACCAGGAAAAGTCAAGTCCTTCAAAGCACAGTTGATTCCACCATGGTCTGTGAACAATGGATATAGTTCATACCTTTGTTCTCTCTTGTCAGTTTGTCAGCCATGTCCCAGTGCTCGTAGCCCCGTAACACGTTGCTAGTGATGTTGACATGACTGGCAGCCATATGGTGAATGCGCTGGGGGATGGTGACTGGGCCATTGTTACAGTTCCCCATTGTATTGATGGGAGAGATGTTGTTGAGAGACATTGGGGATGAAGGGTTCCTGGGGAATGGGAAGAGACAGGTCTTGTTAGGCTGGTTGGAAAGAGTGACCGTGGGCTCTAGATCTCCCTCATGACACTGGGACCTCATGATAACACCATTTTCCACAGTATGGTTTAGCATGGTGAACAAATATGAAGCCCAAGTGGAGTGGGGCTTGTTCCCACATTCCACTGACTCTTATCAAATGATATCCTTATAGCTTTTGCCAACACAGTAAGTTTCTTCAGGGGCTCCAGTATAGAGAGAGATTATTATCTTCCCATTCCTGTTTCATCTGACCAACCACACAGGGCTACAATGCCAAAACTAGCCATGCTTATCCACTTCTAATGTTAAACAGTGAAGTCACACTACCTTTGATAACCATTGCTGACTCCATGTGCATTGCTACATTCTTTTAACATATCAGAAAGAGCTGGTAAATCTTTCCCTGACATTAATTCTACCAAAATAAATATATTGAAAGAAATATGTGTGTGTGTGTGTGTGTGTGTGTGTGTGTGTGTGTGTGTACGTGTGTATCCAAGTATTGTGATTTTTCCGAGAGAGGAACAGCTCAGAACTATTATAAGTTTTATACCTGCTGTCAGAATGGCTATTTGCATTTAGAAAATATTTAGTGTGCAATATTGGTCTATTATCAAAGTGTTTTGTGGAAATGACAATAACAGTTTGCTCCAAATACAGTCACCACAATGAGCAAAGTGTATTTCTTAAAACCCCTCAAAGAGCAGTATTAGGGAAGGTGGAAAAAGTAAGATTCTAAAGATCTCATTAGGATTCTTTAAAACACGCTATACAGGAATGTCTGTTAATTACTGACTATTCACCTGCGCAGTGGTTAATACAGAAAAGATTTTGGCATTCATACTTTAGGCAGTACAAATGTTTGAAGATAGATTTTTGTTTAATTTTTTAATGTCAGCAACAAGAGTTGCCTGCTGGCTACATATAACATGGAGGGCCTGATGTTAGCTTGGCCTGCTGCAGACTTCCCTGGAGATAGTCTCAAAGGTATATGTGGCTTCCTGTGCCCATGAGTAAAGTCTGTATGTACCCTTGGCCTCCTTATACTTTTTTTATTCAGACTGTGAACCACTTCCCAGACAAATGTAGCATGTTATTATGATTGAACATTTTAAAGGGGAAGTTAAACAAATGGGAGAAAGCTGTGTTCGGAACTCCCAAAGTCTGCATGTTTGAAGGAACTCCCTCTTCATTTCTCTGAACACCCCTCACACACCATCAAGGAACCCTGTCTCATTCTTTCTCCTCTTTACCAGCCACTACTGCTGGCAACTCTAGATTTCCAGGGTGACTGTTTTCCTCAGAGTCAACTATGTTCATAGAGCAGATGTGCACTGAGAGAAGCAGCTTAAACAGAGGATCTGGGTAAATGGCATTCACAAGGTACCAAAATTCCAAAGTGGTGCTGAACTCAATTTAGAAGCAATTCCAATACTTGCCTTAAGACTCATGCAGGCTGAGCTTATAGCCAGGTGAGGAATTCAGTCCATTTCTGCAAATAAAGTACAACATATCTTCTGGTATGAGGGGGAAAGTGGATCCTCACTTGCTCTACACTTATCTGGTGTAAAAGGATGTGAAGGTTTTACTGTTCTATTTTTAATTTCTGAGAAGTTTTGATAGTTCTTGATAGAAAGATTTATTCTCAAGGCAGGAGTAGGGTGGGGAGAGGTCTAAGCTAAGGGATCTAGGCACAAAAGAGTCAGCTAATGACACAGACACAAAAAAAGCAGATGCTGGATTTTTTTTTTTATCATGGCAGGTTGCAAATGCTATTTTTTAGCCTTTTCCCCTAGTGTTGGTCATTAACTCTTACATGTCAAGTTATGGCAAGAGAGGGATATATCCTCATTTGTAATGTCTAGAGAAAACTGCAAAATGGTCAGGTGTCACAAATATTGAAAGGGGACCACGTGTCCTTGGAAAGAAGTACTGGAATCCCAGAAGACCTGAATTCTAGTCCTAGCTCTATCTTAAATTGCTGTGTGCTCCTGAGAATGTCTCCTCCCCTCGCAGGATCTTCTGTCCACTGGAGGAAAAGGTTGGACTCAATGCTTCCCAATCATGTATAGAAATACAAGAGGAAACAAATCACCTCTGTTGACCTCATGCATCTTGAAAAGGCCTTTTTAGTTCATAAACTTTGAAGTGTTATTGAGGGACATTCTTTGTCTTCCACTTCCTACTTACTTTCTTTGAAGTAAGGAGTAGTGAAGTCAAGGAGATTTAGGGCACGGATTTGCTTTTTCATTACTGATCTCACAAGAGGCTCCATGAGCTGATCTTGTCATGAGCATGTCTGCACACAATACTGTAGTAATAAAATGAAAAAACGATAACCTGTCTAGGAAATTATAGCTCTGATTAAAAGAGGGCTGATGCACCACTCATCTCAGTGTGACTTCAACTCTAACTTGGCTCTCCCCATTGCTTGGCATTCCTCATCTTGTTTTCTTTCTGTGGGTCTATTTGAAGATCTTGCCTTTTTCATCACATGTGCATGGTCCATGCAAATGAGCATGCTCAAAAAATCACATTTCCCCTCACCTCCACCACTAGCATCATGACCCAACCCACCATACTTTCTCACCTCTCAGTCAAAATTACCCTCTTGTTGTTCTTTGGACTAAGTAGGCATGTCTCCATTTTGAAGGTGGTTGCTGTCTCTGTGCTTGAATTCACTTCCGTCAGGTATCTGCAGGGCTGGCTCTCTTATCATCTTCCTCTAGCATCCCTATTCAAAATAGTCCTACTGCTCCCTGCCCCATGCCAAGCAGTCCTTTCTAACTCCCTTCATTGTTTCTATTTTCTCTTTGACATTTATCATCATTTAGCACACTGCATTTTTTTTTTTACTGTCTTTCTCTTCCAACAGGATGTGGCTTTGACAAAGGCGAGAATTTTTGTCTATTTATATTTATCCAGTGCTATGTAGATAAATGCCTGATGCACATGCTATGCACTTAATGAATACCAGTTAAGTAAATGAACAACTTGCTTTCCAGCTATCCCTCTATTCCTTATTTAGTATCCACTACATATTAGGTGCTGTGAGGAGGGTAGAAGGATACATAATAACACAAGGATAAAAAAAATGTAAAGGGTCTGGCAAGTGTCTCATGCATAGTAGGCACACAACATTTGGTCAATAAAAGAATAAAGAACTCCTCATTGAAAAGACCTAATAGTCTAATAGAGAGCAGACTCCATTAATTTCTAGCAATCTATGGTAAAAGACCAAGAGCTGTGGGGGTTCCAGGGCTGGGATAGCTTATATTTTCCAACTCAAAAAGGTAACAATGACAACAAAAACCATGGCAGTGGTATCAGCCACCATTTCTTAAAGCTAACTGTGTGCCAAACATGGTGATATGGGCTTTACTAATAGTATCTCTAAGTTTCGGGGTACTCTGTGGGTGAGTTTCTGCCGCCACTGTTTCATAGACAAAAGGGAATAGAGAAGTTGAGCTCTTTTATGAGGGCCATACTGCAAATCAGTTGAAGAGCCAAAATGTGAAAGAAGGTCTGTTTTGAATGATGGTGGTCAGAGGGTAGGGAGATTGAAAGACTGCATGAAAAAGGTGAAGGGATTAAGAAGTAAAAATTGGTAGTTACAAAACAGTCACATGGATGTAAAGTACAAAATAGGGAATATAGTCAATAATATTGTAATAATTATAGGGTGCCAGGTAGGTACTGGAAATATAAGGTGGAACACTTTGTAAAGTATATGATTGTCTAACCACCATGCTGAACACCTGAAACAAATAAAATAGTATTTGTATGTAAACTGTAATTGGAAAATTAAAAAAAAAAAAAGAACAGGTCTGTTTTTCTCCAAAGTCCACTTTCCTTCCATTCCATCATATTACCTAAAAGTCTTACCCTTTACTGTACTAAAGATTTCATTTGACAGGCTATCCACATCTATTTTCACCCTTGTGTCCACATTGGCTTATTTCCACTACTCTCCCCAAGCTCACAGGTATTGCATTTATGTTCACACAGGCACTCTCCTCCCAAATTTCACTGAATGTCAATGTTTCCTCCAGTGAGCACCAAACCCCTCACATTCCTTTTACTGGCCAATGTATCAAACAAGTGGACATATCCCTTCTCTTGTAAACCTTTTAATGCAGTGCCCACATCCACCTGTGTACTGAAACAGTGCCTCCAATGGCCTCCTGATTTCACAGTTCTATAGCCATCCTAGCCCTCTTTATTTTCCTTCTGTCTGTGTCACATTTGAAATTGTTGCTCAGCTCTTTAAACTGTCCACAACATGGCTTCCATGATTCTGGATCAAGAGTTGGAAAATCTGGACCACTACCTATTTCTGCGTGGCCTGTGAGCTACAAATAATTAGAAAAGGTGAACATTTTCAATTGATATGATGAGAGGGAACACTAACTTTGAACTTCAATTAAGTAAAGTGTTATTTCAAAAAAAAAAACAAAAACAAAAAAAACCTCTTATTCCTATCCTCAGGTGACTTGTATTGTAAAAGTTGTAATTAATTGTTATTATATTTTGAATTTTATCAGTAAATATTTGCAGAAATTTATTTTATCTCTAATATTCTCTCCATATAATAACCTCAGTTTTGCCTCTTCACTGGCAAATCCCAAAATATGTAACACTTGGTGCTATCCAGAATGTTGGCAGACCCTTGCTCTATACCAAGCAGGTTTTTCCTTACCTTCCAACTGCTTTTTTGCTCTTTCTTCCCCTACAGCTCTCAAGGTCAGGAGTGCTGCTTCTGGAAAGTGGTGTGAGGGGCCCTGTGTGGGGCCAGCAATGCTCAATCACTGGGGAAAACCGACTATAAAGTCTTTGCTTTCAGACAAGAATTCCTCTTTAAACAGAGAGGCCTGACCTCTCTCTTGGGCTTCCACAGAGCTTTATTCAAACCTGTCACCTCCCCCCACTCTACAGCGTACTTCTGGAGTTCAGGAATCATATTGAACTCAGCTGTGTCCTCAGCCCCTCATAAGGAAATGCTCCTGAAGTGAAAGCTGAATAAATAATATGTAACTTCTGGGTGATTGTTTTGAGTTGCCTCACTCATTACCTTTATGACCTACCAAAGGGAGCAGGCTTTCTTAAGACAGGAGCTACTTTAAAAAATCATTTCAGGAGGCTTTTAATGTGACTCTACAACCTTAGGATATCTTTTACTCCTTTAATTTCAGACTGTGTGTGTGTGTGTGTGTGTGTGTGTGTGTGTGTGTGTGTGTGTGTATCTGTCTGGAAAGCATCCAGCTATGAACTATGAAAAATAAAGACATGTGATGAAGAAGATACAAGATAAAGAGACATTGTATATAGGACAATGACTCCTCAGTCCCCTTCAAAGTAGGCACCTTGGGATCTCACACATTTCTTCCCATCACCATCAGCTGCCCTGTCATATTTTCCTGAATCTTATTGACAGTCTGAAATCTCTTCCCTTTCAAAGGTGATTTTAGTATTGGGAAAAGCCTGAAGTTTCAAGGTGCCAAATATGGGCTGTGAGGGGTCTGAGTCACCTGGGTGATTTGATGTTTCATGAAAAAACTCTGCAGGACACATGATCCATAAACAGGCACATTGTTGTGATGACGTTGCCAATGACTAGTTGCCCATAGCTGCAGCCTTCTGAATCATCTGAATAGTTTCCACAGAGGAACATTCAAGCTTAATGTAAAATTTGATGCAGATTTGTTGCTTTACTTGCTCAGTCATTTTGAATGTGACAGCCACACAGTCCACATGTTCACTCAATGGTGTCTACCACCCTCACTGACTAGTACAGTGAAGTTATCATTGTTCATGAACAGGCATTCCAGTTCACTCTCCTTGGCTGCCAGATTACATCAATATCGGGCAAGTCATTCACATTATATTAACAATTGCTGGACTTTTTCCTGACAGACCTCATATCTATTCTCAGTGATCCTTTAATGGCTGTTTACTCAAACTTGCCCTTGATTTACTCTGTGCTCACAGAAAATAGCTTTCCCTGAGCCTTTCAATGGCTATTTTTATTTTTGAACTTTCAGTGAGAAGTGTTCTTTTGCTTTTGTTTTTCAATATAAGAACTAATTCAATAATTTAAACAGTACTTTCTTTCAATAAAATATTTGAGTTAACACATAGTTTTTTAATGGATCTGTTTCCTCACTCTGAATGTTTTTATAATATTACAGTAGAATTCATCATGCCACTGCTTTAGGAGTGTGTTTTTCAGATATTTATAAAGTGGCAGAGGAGACTATTTTACTCTTGAAGAAAGTGTTTTGATCTGAGAAACAGGGATTTTGAAATGATGACAAATGAAAAAATAAGCTCTTTGCATAAGTGTATGTCCACAGTCATCTATTTTTCCTTTCCACCACTAGCTTGCAGTGGTGAGGGAAGTGTTGGCATCAGAGGAGAAACTAATGCTCAAACATGTAAGCACAGATGCATAGTCAGTTCATGGCTGAGCCACAACTAGGACTGAAAAATCTCCCTCCAAGAATAGCTCTTCAGATGGGCCGAGAAGTCATTAGGTCCAGCCATTTTGTTTTAGAGATGGAGAAACAAACCCAGAGAAAGGAAGTGATTCACTTAGCTTACCTTGGAAGTTAAGAGCAGCATCAGGACTAGGTCGATGGATTTCCAGACACCCACCCTACTGCTGGAAGACTGAGCTGCTCTAAGCACATATAGCTCTATCAGCATTATAGTAGATGCATTTATATTTTAGGTCACGGTATTTTAGTGTTAATATAAAAATCACCATGAAAACTCAGATAATTGGCTAAGTGCCTTTACATTTTCAGCACTATTATGCCTTTGGTTTTATTAAACAGCACTTACCATATATCAGGAAATATTTCATTGATTTTTCATTACTGACTGAATCATTGAAAAATCACTGCATTAACCTTAACTTTTACCCTGACTCTCTGAAATGGCATGGTGCTTGTTATCTCATTAAGATATATTTCATGGTCATAATTTGGCTTATAGATCAAAAAGTTAAAGAAATTGGGAATCACACCATATTAAACTTTTCTGTCTTGCTATTAGGTTAAACGTGACTAGAATTTTTTGTCTACAAAAATTACTGTAGTCTCAAAATTTACCTTTGCTTCTGAGTTGACAATACAAAATATTTGTGGTTTATTACATCACTAATTTTCTGAAAGAGCAATTTTCATAAGATACTTACTTCCCATTGCCTACCCACGAAGATGGTATCTGAGTGACTTTTGAAGCATTTTGCTAGAAAAAAAGACAGAAAACAAGAGGAAAATAAGGTCATCTATTTGTGTTTTATTAATTCAGAAACAGGTGGAAGTGTGATTTAGAGTACATTAATACTGATTGCAGCATTTCGGGATACCTCCTGTTTCATGAGCAGAGCTGGGATGTATGTACACATCAGCACACCATGACGCACACTCAATGTAAATAGCTGGTTAGGGTAGTTAGTTGGCTCCAATCAAAACCATGAAAGTCACTTGATGAAAGATGTTATATACTAAAAGGCCCAATGAATTAGACTCAGTTCTCCATGAAGTGGTATAATTATCTTTATCTGAAATTTATTCTGCAAAACAAGCTCTTCAGAGTACAGCAAGTATTTCACCTTTAGCTCCAGTTGCAAATGGTTTTCCTGGGATGCAAGGTGGGCTGTAATTTATGATATCTTAGGAATGTCCCAGGACCAAATAGTGGTTGTGTTTTGTTTTTCATGAATTGACTTGATTTGATATCTTTACATGCAAATCCTCATGGCTGACAATTTTCACAATTTAGCAATGCATCTGGTCCACAGCCGCATTGCAATGGAATGCTAAACATTGTATTTTTCTTTGATGGATCTGGTTTGGTTTAAAGAATGGGCCTTCTGCATTCTCATGGCTAAACACTTATGGAGTGCAGGGAACACTGATACTAAGCATCACTACACTAGGACAGTGACCTGGCTCATTATAATGACCTTATCAGGTTGAAGTCCAAGTAGTACAGGGCCAGGACACTTGTGGCATTGAGCCTGACTCAGGCCTGCCTCTCTGGCCTCATGGCCCAGGTTATTCTGCCTCTCGGATTCCCATCCAGCCCCCTTTGCAAATGGGGTGCCAGGAAGAGACTTGGCACTTTCCAGAACCTATTGACAATACAACACTTCTCTGGATTAGAGATCCACATCTAAGGTAAATTCTGCAGACTTTAGCTTTTAATCTCAAAGAAGCTCAACGTACTGCCAGAGGAGTTAGATATTAAACATATGTTTGGTATTTTGCAATGCCATGGAAACTACACAGGACAGGCTGAAAGAGGACAGTAGCTCTCATAGTGTGATCACAGGACCAACAGCATCAGGATTACCTGGAAAGTTGCTAAAATGCCAATTCTCAGGTCCTATCCCAGACCTGGGGGATGGGACTCAGCGCTCTGGCTTTATGAGCACTCTTGGGGATCGTGATGCTCACTCAAGTTTAAGAATCACATTTCTAGAGCGTAGGTTGAGACAGTAGACATATGAGGGGATGGACAACTGTTGTATTTGAACTTGTTCATCTACATAAGCACTAGATTTATGGTATTACAGCCACACTGCATAATAGCTAGTGAACTTCCTCTGTATCCCAACTCAGCCTGTGTCCTCATATAACGTCGCCTTGCCACTCACTGGACTTGGATGATTGATGCAAGGTCATGATTTAATTCATTTCATTTTCACAACTGCTTTGGTGCAATTTACCCAAGTGGTGCCATCCACTTGGTAAGTAAGTAAATAAATAAATAAATAAACAAACACATACATAAATATTTTTTTCTTTTTTTTTTTTTTTGAGACAGGACTAACAAGAGACCTAAATCTCCTCAATTCTATATCATGACCACTGTTTGGGGGAAGAAGCAGCAGAAGCTCCAGTGACCCTCAAGCCACCTATTTTTGGTACAGTGGCCAGGCCTAGCACCAGACTATTGTTTGTAGTTTTCACCCAGGCTCATTCCCAAGTTTTGGCATTGCATCTTGAGGTAAATATGTATTTTACTTGCAAAATAAGAACTTCTGCTCCCTAGACGGTAGATTTATTTTTTTATTTGTTGTTTGTGGATTTATGGATTTTGGTAAGCAAAGCAATCAATTGTATTAAAGTTCAACCACTGTACTTTAAGACTCCTCATGGTCAAAGGGCTCCGTAAGGTGAGAAATTTCTAGATTAGATTATCATTTAACACAAGGTTGGCCACAGTCAGCCACAGGCTGTGGGTCCATCATGCAGGGTGGGGCAGAAGATATCATTCCTGCTGACTGCAGCTGGGAAGCTGCTAAGGTCCATTTGGAAGATCCAGAGAATAATCAGATGATTGCACTATTGTTTATTTTCTCCTTGAAATAAAATCAAACCTAAGCTCTCTGCTGAGCCCCAAAGGAGAAGTGGAAGGGCCACAGCATGCCAAGATGAAGGAGGTTAAGCATTTGACAGCAACAACCTTGATATTTAATAACATGCTTGTCATGTCTTATTAGTGATTTAATTGCCAAAGCATCTATAAATTATACAAAATAAGGGTTACCTTAAAATATTCCATCAGTGATCTGGAGTACTTCATTGCATGGTCTTTCTTCAGTTTAAACATCCGCAAGTATAGAAGTGATAAACATCGGTAGCTGTAGTGATGAAGAAAGGATTATGTTAATATCAATGCTTAAGGAAACCAGTAAACTAAAAAATGCTGATTTATATTTTGCAGTTACTCTCCTACAGTTACTGAGACACATAAGTAGTAGGAACATTAAAAAAGAAGAGGTAAGCATTAAAATCCCATCTTGATAAGGGTATAAATTAGGAGAGTAAATGTTTAGTCAGCAACTGGAGAAATCCATTAGTTATCCTTTAATAGTTTAATAGAAAACAATAATATTGATCTGGGCTAAGCAGCTTAAATTAATCTGGAGTTTTCAAATTGTTCTGCAACATTTCAGCCATTTCTTCTTGGCCTCTATGAAACTTACCATAATACTGCCAGCTTTTTGTCCCCATCTGAAGCCAAGGGGCTTGCAAAGTTCTTCAGTCTCATTGCATACCTTTAAAGAGAAAGGAAAAGCTCAAGTGGGATCTATATTATCCTTCAGAAAGTTCCAAGTTTATTGGTATCTTCATAATCTGAATGTCTTAGCCCCACATTTGCGTTGTTTGGGAGGACTGACTAGGGCATGTGGGTAAGGCATGCTTTCTTGAAAACATTAACAAATGATAACCATGAGTGCCACTGATGACTTAGAGAAGTTAGCACTGGAGAAGTGAGGGAAATCTGGAGTTCATATTCTAGGACACTGCTGTGCAATTACTATTGGCTAGCTGTGTGTATAAATGCTGTTTCTAGGAATAGTGTAGCTAAACATTATTGATTTTTCAATGGGAAGTTGACACAAAGTCAGTCTCAGTTGTGTTTATGACAGATGGGTTAAGTAATATACAACTATGTCTGACATGAGCATGGAGAAACCACAATCACCCAGTTAAAAGGGTCTTTTGTTTTTTTAAGTTCATTTATTTTATTTTATTTTTTTAATTTATAAATCATGTTTATTCTATTACAGTTGTCTCAATTTTTCCCCCTTTACCCCTTTCCAACCATCCCACTCTCACCCCCCACTCCCACAGTCAATTCCCACTCTGTTGTCCATGTCCATGGGTCATTCATACAGGTTCTTTGTCTAGTCCCTTCCCCTTCTCTCCAACACTGTCCTCTTTCCCCATCCCCTCTGGTCACTTTCAGTCTGCTCCATGTTTCCATGCCTGTGGTTTATTTGGTTCATTAGTTTATTTTATGGAATAGAGTCCAATTATAGGTGAGATCATATGGTAATTGTATTTCATCAACTGGCTTATTACACTTAGCTTAATATTCTCCACTTCCATCGATGTTGTTGCAAAAGGTAGGAGTTCCATCTCTCTCTATTTCTTTCTTTCTTAAATGCAGATTGATTTTATTTTTTTAATGTCAAAGTTAATTATAAAATATTTAAAAAATTTTAAACCATTATAAAGTCTCAGCAATTAAACATGACATCAGCACAGAAATAATCAAGTAGATCAATAAAATAAAATGAGCATTCTAGAAACAAATATATATATATATATATATATCTCTAACAATATAATATATGATTAAGTGGATATTTCAAGTCAATGGTTAAAATAAGGATTATTCAACAAATAAGGTGCGTGGACCACTATTACTTGAAATAAAACAAATAGCCCTATTTTACACATTATACAAGAAATATTCAGGTGAGTGAAATATCAATATGTAGAATCTAAGGAGTTTTAGAAGAAAATAGAATTAATATTTTTCATGACCTGAAGTAAAATATTCAATGCCAGAAGATATAAAGTACATTTTGACAATATGACTATATTAAACATTTAACTATGTAGTAATATACACATAAAAAGATAAAGGACAAGGAATAGAATAGAAAAGTATCTGCAACACATCTAAAACATGGTTAATAAGATTTTTTTTTGTTTTTGTTTTTGCTTTTTTAGGGAAAAAAGTTCTACAAACCTTTAATCAATAAATGTATAAAGAATACCAAAAAGTCATGTAAAACTTTTTAAAAAAATAATAGAAATAGGCAAGAAATATACTAAAGCAGGTTTAGTTTCAAAAAATTGTGAAGGAATGATTAAAATAACATCATTGTCACAATAAGATTAATGAGTATTAAAATATTGGTAGTATCAAGTATTGGCAACTCTGAAAGGCACTGGTCATTCATAGAAACTTTTTCTTCATCTTAAAGCAGTCCCTTTAGCATATTTTGCAGTGCTGGTTTGGTGGATGTGTATTCTTTTAGCCTTCTTTTCTCTGGGAAACTCCTTATTTCACCTTCCATTTGAATTGAGAGTCTTGCTGGGTAGAACTGACTCGGTTGCAGACCTTTGCTTTTCATGACATAGAATATTTCTTGCCATTCCCTTCTGGCTTGCAGAGTTTCTGTTGAGAAGTCAGAAGCTAGCCATATCGGGGCTCCCTTATATGTTACTATCTCTTTCTCCCTTGCTTGCTTTACGATTCTCTGTTTGTCTTTGATATTTGCCATTTTAATGATAATGTGTCTTGCAGTGGGCCTTATTGGGTTCCTCTTCAATGGGACCCTCTGTGCTTCCTGGACTTGTGTGACTTTTTCTCTCCTCCAATCAGGGAAGATTTCCATCATGACTTTTTCAAACAGGTTCTCTATCCTTTCCTCGTTCTCTTTTCCTTTTGGAATACCAAGTATACGGATATTATTACCTTTCAGGTTATCCTGCATTTCCCTAAATGCCTCTTCATTCTTTTTGGGTCTTATTTTCATTTTCTTGCTCTTTCTTTGAGCTTTTATCTACCTTGTCCTCCAGCTCACTGATTCAGTCCTCAGCTTCATCTAGCCTGCTTTGATTCCTTATACTGTGTTCTTCAGTTCAGAAATTGTATTCTCCATTTCCTCTTGTTTCTTATTGATGCTTTCTATGTCCTTTTTCATGGTGATATAGTTTGCAGTAAGTTCCTCGTAGTTTACCTGTAGTTTTTGGTAATTCTCTCTGAGCTCACCGAGCTCATTGATCTTCCTTAGAACCGTTGTTTGGAACTCAGTATCTGATGGTTTACTTGCCTCTATTTCATTTAGTTCTCTTTCTGGGGATTCCTCCTTTCCCTTCGAGTGTGAGGGGTATTTCTTTGTCTTCCCATTATTTGTGAGACTCTTCTCTTTTGCTTCTGCTTCTTAAGTTGATCTGTCTTGATTTCGTGGCTTTGTGGTGTGAACTTCTATGGTTAGAGACCGCTGATTTTACTTTCTGGATCTGCTTCTGATGATATCAGATGTGGACCCTATCTGACATTAGGCAGTCTGTTCCAGACTTCCAATAATCTACTGTTTGTGGCTGTCTCCTTCGACTATTAATCTATTCACTCCGCACTCAGCATGGCACCTTAGACAGCTCAGGGCGAGGTGGAGTCCCTCCTGGGGCCAGGGTTATTGGGTCCTTTAATGCTGCTGCTGTAGGGGGGAGGAGTCAACACTGGGATTACGCTGGCTACTCTGTCCATTCTCTGCCCAAAAGCTCTCTCCCCAGTCTCTCCTCAAGTGTCACTAGACCTCTCTGTTCCCCCTTTGGCCATAAATCTACTGTCTGTGGCTGCCACTCTGCACTAAGCAGGCAGCTTAGACAGCACTGGGTGGGGTAGAATCCGACCTGGGGGCAGGGCTATTGTGTTCTTTGAAGCTGGTGTCACTCAGGGGCCTTGAGCAAGATGGCTGCTGCTGCATGGGGGATGCGTCAGCACTGAGATCCCTCCAGCTACTCTCTCAGTTCTCTCCCCAAAGCCTCCTTCCCCAGTCTCTCCTAGGGTGTCTCTAGCTCACTCTGCCCCCACCTTTGCCGAAGACCAGGGTAAGTGGCTGCAAATAAAAAAATTGTGTGTTGGCCCTTTAGAAGGCTCTCTGTGTCTCCAGCTGCCTGCTTCTGGCAGAGAGCAACCCTGCCACTTTCCTCAGCTGGCTGTTTTCTGTGTACTTTTAGGGCTCTGGTGCTATGGGCTAGAGATCCCGACTTTTGGTTTAGATCCCACTAGTTTCGGGGGGATCCAACTGGCCGTTTCAATATCCTTTTGGTGCTGCCATCCGTGGTTACCCCACCCACTTTCTCAGGTCTGTACTGCACTCCTTACCAGTTAGGTTGCACTAAAGCTGATTCTTCTGTCTCCAAGGTCACAAGGTTCCTGTCTTGCTGTTGTTCAGTTGTTTGTTCCAGGTGATTTCTTCTCAATTTAGTTATAATTCTAGGTTGGTGCTGAGAGGAGGTCAGTGTGACTTCCACTCCCTCCTCTGACATCTTTATTCTGTCTCTTTTATTATTTTTAAATTTTTTTTATTGTTCAAATACATTTGCCTCCATTTTCCTGCCACCACTTTCCCATGCCCCAGCCTCCCCAAATTCCACCATCAATCCTACTTCCCTTTGGTTTTGTCCATGGGTCCTTTATATATGTTCCTTGACAGCCCCTCCCCTTCTTTCCCACATTATCCCCTCTTCCCCTCTGGTTACTGTCAGCTTGTTCTTTATTTCAATTTTTCTGGTTATATTTTGCTTGCTTGTCTTTTGATTAAGTTCCACTTAAAGGTGAAATCATGTGGTATTTGTCTTTCATTGCCTGGCTTATTTCACTTAGCATAATGCTCTCCAGATCCATCCATGCTGTCGCAAAGGGTAGGAACACCTCCTTTCTTTCTGCTGTGTAGTATTCCATTGTGTAAATGTGCCATAATTTTTTGATCCACTCACTTACTGATGGGTACTTAGGCTGTTTTCATCAGTTGGCTATTGTAAATTTTACAATTTCTTGTTAATTTAAAAAGTGTCTTTTTAAAATTCTTGGATGAATAGAAGACATGAATTCTTTCCATGTTTGCTCATTGTGTTCCTTCCATTTTTATTGCTTATCATTTTTGCCAGAATTTCATTCAGTGCACTTTTGAAAATCACAGGCAGTCCTGAATAGACACTAAAAAATCAATTTTCTCTTAAAATCTATGGAATGGCAATGGCAGCTTTCACTGTGCATGAAATTGGAGAGGTACTTTACATGTTTCTCAGAGCAGAGAGAAAACAAAGCTGTCTGTCTGTGATTTTCCTCATTATCTCCTTACTTTTGAGGCTTTAACTAAATATTATTCTATGTGAGCATATTTTTCTTTATAATAGTTTATGTTTTTAGATATTTTGGAATGCTTTCTTATAAAATATGCATGCTAAATTTGTTTAATATTTCTAAAAGTTTAGGTACAAGTGTCCTCAGATTTGTGTTTACAAGTAACATAGTAAAAACCTGAAAACCAGGCCTGGAATTATTGATTAATCAAACCAGAGGTGACCGGTATATAAGGGCTTATCAGGTGAAGAACTGTTCATTCACTCAAAAGCAATTACTTAATCAATCCACCAAACAGTAGTGCTCACCCATTATTCAGAGGTGGATTAAATTATTTTACAAATATTGAAGGTTACTGGAAAACGCTAGAATGGATACCATTTTTTCTCTTTCCCCTTCTCTCAGGAATTTTTTTGATTCCCCACAAATTCTACGCTGCCAATATCAACAAGCTAAAAAAATTCATTTAAAATACAAATGAAACCAATAATCTGTGCAGTTAATATACACTCTCCAATTTTGATCTTTTCATCTCTATGCTGCTTCTGCTACCACCTTGTCTGTTTCCCTTATTCCAGAGGCATGGAAAGTCTACTCCACACCTGTGGTGCTAATGCTAACTTTATGCTGGAACAGTGCTCCCTCCATTTTCAGTAACCAAAGCAGAAGTATTCTTAGAAAACATGGTTTATAACAGAAATCCCAATAATACTACTTTTTTGAATTATAAAATAGCATTTTAAATAGAAAAGTGTCCATGCCAAACAGTGAAATTATTACATTTCTACCCACTACATTTCCTTTTTAATCTTATGAATATTGCAAATTATAATCCATTATAACCCCTTGAAGGATAATTTATAAAGGCAGTGTCCATGAATTATAAATTTACATGATATTAATAAAATGGCAAGAATTAATTGTCATGATTTCTAAGAAGACGATGTCTTGGACAAATTATTACTATGTAGAAGTAATATTTAAAAAATAGAAGCTTCCAATTATGACTGAAATGAGTTTAGGAAGATGTTTGCAGAAAGGCCATTTACCTCAGGAGCTCCACAGTCTCAGAGTACATGGTATATGGAGACTTTGCTTCCAGAGGGTTGCGCTCCATGGCATTGCCACATTCGGTGAAAGACAGGGCTGCATCAGCATAATTCACAGCTTTGCCAAATTTCTCAAACTGAAACAGGAAGAAGAGTCATCAACACAATATCCCCCTTTCTCCTTTATATTAAGGGGGGCTTCTCAAAGTGGGACAATTTTGCAACCTTCCCTCTGGGAACATTTGGCAATATCTGGAGACAATTTTGGTTGTTGCTACTAGGGACAGAGGGTGTCTAGTTGTCACAGGCCAGAGCTGTGACTAAACATTCAGCAATGCACAGGGCAGCCTCCACAATGGAGAATTACCCTGCCTAATAGTGCTAAGGCTAGGAAACCCTGATGTAGAGGTGGGACAATGTATGAATGTGTGTTGACAATAACATAACTGATTTAAGGGTCTATTATCGTCACACTGAGGCTGGTTGAAAAAAGAAAACTGCAGCTTAGGTATCATGTATTATAGTATTATCAAGTATTTGTGGTATTATTTTTGTTGTTATCTTTTTAGGATACCAGAAACCAAATCACTGCCTTGATTAGTTTCTATTCACCAAATTTATTAGACTGATCATTGTAGTGTACTATAGACAAGCTTGCAATAAAACTGCTTTTTGTAAGCCTTGTGGACAACTAACATATACAGTCTTTACTTGGAACTCTTTGTAAGCACATCTACCTTACTCCCAAGAGAGGAGTAAAAAAATTTGATGCGACTGTCATGAAAAATGTGAAGATAGAGTGTGTAGACAATAATCACATCACATTCATTGTATTTGAAAAAAATAAATTAATTAAAAAATAATTGTCTGAAATAGTGTGTCAAAAAGCCGAAAAATATAGCACTACTAAATATTTTAGTTTAGTAAAATTTTATTGCAAAAGGTTTTAGCTTTGATAATGGTCCCAATTAAAGTGGCTTAGACATACTGATTTCTTTTTTATGTGTAACGAAAATTATATATAACACTTTTATAGTGAGTATTTTATAACAGTATTTAATTTCCAATGTCTAATAACTAGATATAAAAATTCCACTAATGCACAATTTTATGTAAAAGAAAAATATAGAGCAGACTTAGCTATTTTAATTTTCTTATATACCTTTCATTAAAATATATATTTTCTATACAACTGTTCAGGCTTCAATTCTCAAAATGAGAGTGTAGTTGTCTCTGGAAAAGGATTATGTACAAATATAAAATGATGAGTCACAGGTCCTACAGAATTTCTTGTTTGTTGTAAATGACTTTTTACAATAAATGTTTTTCAGTTTTTATGTACTGCAAGAATTCTGTGGTTTCCTTTCTTTGAGAAGCTGTGGAAAATATCATTTTCAAGCAATTTCTAAGTGATTTTTAAAAATATCTATGTATATATGCCAACTATCATCTTCTCCTGCTTTACAAAATAATCTCCTTGGCTCCAAATAGCTCTCCCATTTAGAAATTAATCTTTACATTCTGATTTTTGAAAACGTGATTTCATTTATAAATCCATAGGTAGAAGAATCATTTTTTTTATGGTTTAAATACATTGGTCTCCATTTTCCAGCCACCACTTCCCCCTGCCCCACTCACCCCCACCTCCCTCCCTCAATACTTCCTCACTTTGGCTTTGTCCATGGGTCCTTTATACATGTTCCTTGATTTGACCCTTCCCATTCCTTTCCCTGTTACCCTCCTTCCTCCTTCCCTCAAGCTACCGGAGGTTTCTTTTTTCTTTCAATGTTGCCAGTTATATTTTCCTTGTTTGTTTTGTTGATTAGGTTCCACTCATAGGTGAGATCACATGCCATTAGTCTTTCACCTACTGGCTTATTTCACTTAGCATAATGCTCTCTAGTTCCATCCATACTGTCGTGAAGGGTAGTAGCTCTTTCATTCTTTCTGCTGAGTAGCATTCCATTGTATAAAAGTACCACAGTTTTTTGATCCACTTATTTATTGATGGGCACTTAGGTTGTTTCCAACACTTGGCTATTGTAAATTGTGCTGCTATGAACATTGGGGTGCATAAGTTCTTTCGAGTTGGCATTTTGGGATTCTTAGGGTACAATCCCAGAAGTGGAATTGCTGGGTCAAAAGGCGATTCCATTTTTAGCTTTTTGAGGATATCCCAAACTGTTTTCCACAGTGGCTGCACCAGTCTGCGTTCCCACCAACAGTGTACTAGGGTTCCAGAGCCTCACAAGCACCCATTGTTTGTTGGTCTGTTTATGATGGCCATTGCAGCCGGTGTGAAGTGGTATCTCATTGTGGTTTCAATTTTGCGATTCTCTGATAGCTAGTGATGATGAACATCCTTTCATAAGTCTCTGGGCCCTGTTTATGTACTCCTTGGAGAGATGTCTATTCAGATCCTTTGCCCATTTTTTAATTGGATCATTTGTCTTTCTGGAGTGGAGTCGTGTGAGTTCTTTATATATTTTGGAGATCAAACCCCTCCCTGTCTGAGGTATCATAGGTAAATATATTTTCCCATACAGTTGGTTCCCTTTTCATTTTGCTGATGTTTTCTTTAGCCATGCAGAAGCTTCTTATTTTCATGAAGTGTCATTTGTTTGTTCTTTCCTTTATGTCCCTTGCTCTAGGGGGCATATCGGTGAAAATATTACTGCGTGGGTTATCCGAGAGTTTCCCACCTGTTTTCCTCTAGAACTTTTATGGTATTGCAGTTTATATTTAAGTCTTTTATCCGTCTTGAGTTTATTTTTGTGTATTGTGTAAGTTGGCGGCTGAATTAAAATTTTTTTGCATGTAGCTGTCCAGCTCACCCAACACCATTTGTTGAAGAGGCTATCTGTACTCCATTTCATGCTTCTGCCTCTTTTGTCAAAAATTAATTGACTACAGAGACATAGGTTTATTTCTGGGCTCTCTATTTTTTTCCATTGAGCTATGCGTCTGTTCTTATGCCACTGCCAGACTGTTTTGATTACAGTGGGCTGGTAATATAGTTTGATGCCAGGTATTGTGATCCCTACTATTTTGTTCTTCTTTCTCAAAATTGCTGCAGCTATTCGGGGTAATTTATGGTTCCATATCAATTTTTTGAATGTTTGTTCTATGTCTGTGAAATATGTTGGTATTTTAATAGGGATTACATTGAATCTATAAATTCTTTTGGGTAGTATAGACATTTTGATGGTGTTAATTCTTCCAATACATTAAGAGAAGAATCTTTAAAGGGCTCCTAGCCTCAACACCCCCTTTTCAAAAAGGAGAAACTGTAGTCCAGAGAAATGTCATGACTATAGATATAGTTAGTGTTCAGGTCATATCCCCTTCCTGGGCCTCAATTTCTCCATCTATAACATAAGGAACTTGAACTACAAGGGTGCTTCCAGCTCTAGAATAGACATAAACCTAGCAAAGATATCTTACTCTAAAATAAATCAATGTTTATCAACCATTTTTTTCATCATCACCACCTCCTGATGGAGGTTTTTAAGATATTTTTTCATATACTCCTATTGAAACTTTAATACCAACAATAACCTGATGATATCTTTCTCTCACTCTTTCTCTCTCTCCCCAGTCCCCTCAGACTCTTAAGTGGGGTCCCACTGACAGTTTTATGTGACAAGCACAGTATTTTTTAATCCTCACTTGAGACATGTTTCCATTGATTTTTAAAGAGAGAAGAAAGAAGAGTGGGAGAGAGCCCTAGGTGGTGTGACTCAGTGGATTGAGTGCTGGTCTGCGAAACAAAGGGTCACCAGTTTGATTTCCAGTGTAGGGCACAAGCCTGGGTTGCCAGCCAGGTCTTCAGCAGGGGGTGTGTGAAGTGCAGCCACACATGATGTTTCTCTCCCTCACTTTCTCCCTCCCTTCCCCTCTCTAAAAATAAATAAATAAAATCTTTTTAAAAAAAGAAGAGAGGGATAAAGAGGGAAAAAAAACATCGATATGGAACTGGCAAACTTTTGGTGCATGGAAAAATGCTCCAACCAACTGAGTCACATGGCCAGGGCTCCTGATAATCTCTTTATGTATTGTGGCCCTTTAAAGGGCCACACACCATAGAACTATTTAAGACTGTTTCACTCCACTTTCAAGAACCAGTTTTTACCTTCATGTGGGCAGAATATCTCCAATTGAAATGCATTATCTAAATGGATTAGACCAAAAGTGGTTTGGGGAGGAGGGGAACACTTAAAGATACTTTGGAGAGCAGATAGTATTGCTGATTTTTTTAAAGATTTTATTTATTTTTAGAGAGAGAGGAAACGAGGGAGAAAAAGAGGGAGAGAAACATCAATGTGTGGTTCCCTCCCATGCGCCCCCTACTGGGGACCTTGCCCACAACCCAGGCATGTGCTCTGACTGGGAATAGAGCCAGCGATCCCTTGTTCTGCAGGCTGGCATTCAATCCACTGAGCCACATGTATTTCTGTATCTCTGATTTTTCTCAGTTCTTTTTAAAAAATATTTTATTTATTTTTAGAAAGAAGGGAAGGGAGGGAGAAAGAGAGCCAGGTCCCCAGCAGGGGGCGTGTGAAGTGCAGCCACACGTGATGTTTCTCTCCCTCCCTTTCTCCCTCCCTTCTCTTCTTTCTAAAGAAGAATTTAATGTTTAAAGGGAAACATTAATGTGTGGTTGCAATTTGCACACCCCCTACTGGGGACCTGGCCTGCAACTTAGGCATGTCCCCTGACTAGGAATCAAACAGGCAACCCTTTGTTTTGCAGGACAACACTCAATCCACTGACACACACCAGCCAGGTCAGGTTTTTCCCAGTTCTTTTAACATTTCACATATATGGCCTCACATGTATGTCCCAGTCTTCATCAGCTCATGGACCAGCTTGTCAAAGAATAGTTATGTGCTCCCTTGTCTTGATTTTGACAGAAGGCAAACTCCAGAGCTTTTCTCTGGTGCCTTAGAGTTGAGACATTTAGGGGGAAAAACAAAACAAAACAAAACAAAAAACCTTTGGTCTTCAAGCCAGCAGCACTGCCACCCAATGCTACTCAAATCTCTCATCAAGCATACAATGGTCACAAAGGCACAGTTTTCTCAACATTTCTAGTGGAGCTTGCACCCAGGTGGCCTTGGCACTTTTATCCAAAGGA